CTGCTGCAATTATGTGCCAATGGTGTCGTTTGGTTTCCAGAAACTAGTACTTTTATACTTTTATACCACTTGGCCTTCAGTCTTGGCAAGTCAAAATGATCTGATGGCCAAAGGACTAGTGACTGAAGTCACACAGCAACAGAGCCTGTAGACAGGCACTGTGCTTAACACATGCACTGGCACTAATCAGTTAACCTCATTTCAGAAAATTATACCCAGGTGACTCAAGTTAATGTTTTCCACAGCAAGTACTAAGCTACAGCAACATCATATAGGATCATATAGGATGGATTAAAACCACTACCTTAACACAAAGCAAGATGTTAACTGCAAACATCTAATGGCTATTTCCAGATGTCCCTTGAAAGACAAGTGGATTTACACAATTCATGTCCTTGCAGTCACCTGCAAAATTAAGAGACTCCAAAAGCTTTTGGAGATCAGAGGGTTAAATGTATCGTGAGTATGTCTGAAGGATGCTGAGCTGAAAAAATAAAGTTCCCTTTGCTCAACACTTCTATATGCACAGTTCTTCAGTCACCTTCCAACAATTATCTCCTAAACATTAATTCTTCTCTGAAATTCAGTCGTCTGACGTTCTAAAAATACAGCATGCGCTGCAGAGAGGAGGAACACATTAAGATAAGCTTTGTGTTCAAAAGAAGTACACTGAGAAGAGCCCCAGCATTTCCAATTCTCCACCACTATCAGATATTCCATGGCTGCATTCTCCCTCTTAACTCACACCCCAAGCAGCAGTTTTCATTTTTAATACCTCCCATCCCCAGAATGTGTCTGACCTAGCCGAGACACGCGCTTGCCTCTCAGCTTTGTCCTCCCCAAGGAGCCAGCTCCTTCAAGAGCCAGCGTGACACTCCTGTTGCTATAGGAACACCCGAGCTGTAATCACCAAGGTCTTAGCATAATTCACATATCAGGCTTACTAGCTGCAGAGCTTCCATTTTCAGATTCACCATGGAGCAGTGACTTAAGACAGCCAAATACTAACCTATCATTTAAAAAATGTACATAAATAGGAAGCAGGTAATATTAATTTTTATGCAGGAGGTATTTCTCTGCACACAACTTCCTATGGAGCATTTGGCTTATGATATAAATTTGTAAGGAAGCTTTAATTTCATTAGTTCAGTCTGAAGAAACCTAATGAGCCCAAGCTGCTTTAGTTCTTGCTGCAATGCGGGGAAGAGGACTAATATGTAATACCTCAAAACAGCTCACGATCATGTCTAACCTCTGTCGTATACAGTGGTTCAATAGAGACGTCTCCGTGTTTTTCAGATATTCTTGAAGCCATAAAGAACAAAAATAAACAAACAAAAAAGCAATTATAGAAAAGGGAACAGCAAAACTAAACTTAGCCTCTTAGCCAAGTACTAGCCTAGAGATTTAAAACCTTTGTTCAGGCTTTTCTGGGTTACTGAGATTTCACCTCCTCTGTTAGTAGTTCACCTTTCAAAATGTGAAGTATTTTTGATGCATGAAGCCGAGGTGAGCCTCAGGTGTCACGAGCGCATCATCCCTGTCTGGATAGACTATAGTAAGAACAAAATGGGTGAGCAGAGCAAGTATGAATAAATACAGCCAAAATACCACGCTGTGAACAGAACCCAGACATCTGAACTGTCTCAGCATTTCTTGCTATTGGGAAACTGCAGCCCATGTTCGGGAAACAGCACCTCCAGAGGGGTGTATCAAAGTAAGTGCACTTAAGGACTAAGTTCTTCCAAAGATTCTGGAATACACTGAAAAGGCAAATGGAGCTGGAAGAAAAAAAAAAAAGCTAGAAAACACGTTCTGATCATTCAAGATCCCTTAATAAATATGTTGCTTTAATATACATTCCAACTATGAATGCATACATATCTACTAGATAGATTCTCTATTTCTTCAACACAAAACTTCCAACCAGTGTAGAGCCAAAGTACAGCATTGTCAGGTGATACAGAAGAATATGCAGGTCTACACCAAGGCATCTAGACTGCTAGGGCCAAGAATGTCTTTATAAATTCATTCTCTCTGTTAAAAAGAAATGGGGGGATGTATTAGTTCTCTCTGGTGCATGCCTGATGAAGTAGGATGATTCTAAAAAGAGGTGTGAAGTTAAGAGCAGTCTGCCTTACTACTGAAAAAAAAAAAGATTTTGTAAACCACTAACCTGGTAAGTCTTTGTAAATGACTCCTTGAATATACATCATTCAGTTGTTCTGAAGGCAAGTTGTATAATCGTAAAAACAAACAAACAAACCAAAACAACACACACACCAGAAAACAGGAAAGAAAATTCCTTTAAGCAACCTTAAAGAACAAAAAAAATTAAGTACGTTATTGTGTGGACTTGGGACAGGGTTTTTCAGTGCAACATAATGCCATCTAGTGGAGATGGAATCTCCCTTGAGATGGCAAATCTGGCACCTGATGCATTTATATATTGGTAATCAACCCCTCCTGCTTCACCGACACAAAATAGAGCAAAGGAGCTGAGAGCTGGTGGTGGCTGCTGCTGGATGCTCCACTACGCTCACCCTCCACCGTCAAGTAGTATCACAGCAGAAAGCAAGCAAGGAGCAACATTATCATAATTTTAACTTACAAATCTGAAGAAATCTTCAGGAATGAAAGCCTTGAACAAATTACAGTGGCTCATGCCTTAACAGCACATTACAGTTTCATCCTTCTCCAGAAGAAATTATATTTGGCTAGGTTTCTGCATTTTAATTTGTTCTTCATGCTATGCACAACTTGATTTGGTAAGTTGGCATATTTGAATATGAAAAGGACCAACATCCTTTCACCCCCGCTTTTTATTTATTTATTTATTTATTTAAATATTTGAAGATTATATTTCTTTGTTCTATTTTCCCATAGCAAGAGAAACCTAACAGCTGGGTTATCAGTTTAATTATAATTTGCGAAGGCTGAAGATGGATACCAGAGCTGAATCTCCCATTCAGCGATCATTATCACAATCATACACAAGTCAGTATCAACAGGGAAGATTTCATTCCTTACAAAAAAAGTCACAAGAACCTTCAAGAACTTTAAGAAAATGATTCCCGAGAAATCAGTTTTTATTTGTTCAAACATGGGACAAGAACATAAGTTTTTGAACAACATATGAAACTCTTATTTTCTCTGTGTTGTACAATCGGTAAGTTTAGAAGCAGACCAGGTAACTGTTGGTCTCTCTTTGATTATAGAAAAAGTTATGATTATGGAAAAGTTATGGTAGAATTTAATTTTTTTGGTTGTGCCTTTTTGGTCTTAATCTTCCAGAAGAATATCCTCTGGGGAGTTCTTATTTCTTAATCTCACTCTGATACTTTCAAAACAGCCAGGAATGCAGTATTTTGGTCTTCCTTTAAAATGCTAAGGCAGGAATTTCAAAGCACTCCACCAGTATTCGAATCTCCAAAGCCCTCCATGAAGTGAGAAAATAGTTTCCTAATTTTGTATATAAGTAAACCAGGCACTTTAGGCAACAAAGTCAGATTAAGATGTGTAATGGAATGACTATATAAATTATCCATCTCCGCTGCCAGGTCTTGTGTTTTTATTATCTGTTGTCTGCCAAAGTGCAGATAATTCAGCATGCATTCTTATTACTAGAAATGCAACCAATTTAGAGATAACTATTTTAGACAGCACCACAGCTGTCTGATAACTAAGGCAGTCTTTCTTGCTTCAATATTTTGTCCTCCAGTTTAGAGGAGAAACAGACATATCAGCAGACAAGTTTAAGAATTCTGAGCCAAAAATACACAAGCATATCTATCGCCATCGATCCCTTGCAGCTACGTGAAGAATGAACACACAAGCTTAAAACTGAAGAGCAAGTTTGTGCAGGCTGTTTCTAATGGTTTTCTAAATGACTTAGAACTGACTTGAGCAGAAATTTAATATAGATCTTTCTGGCATGTAAGACTAAATTTTTTTTTCAAATACAAATCCTAATGCATGAATGTGACCTGGCATAGGAAGAGAAAAACAAACAAAAATCACAAAAAATAATTCATGTTTAGAACAGAGCTATAGATCCAGAACAGCACCACACAAGTATTTTCCAGCACTTCTGGCGAAGGATTCACTAAAGCAACATGTCACCCCCTTAACAGGAATAAATAAATAAATCACATAGTACCTGACTAAATAAATTGGCACAATAAATACTTCATGATTTATCAGAACAAGCATGGAATGTTTATGGCAGCAGTTATGTTCTAATGGACCATATCTCAAAGTTTGTTATGGAAACACTATTATTTTAGTATCAGAAGCTTCTACTGCTGAACTACTATGTGTAACATATTAAGCACATTGGATCATGAAATTCCAAGTAGCTATCGCAATTTTGTTCCTAAGCATAGCTCTCCAGTTTAAGAACTAAATATCAAAAACTGAAAAAATTATCTGATGCAGAAGACCTATCTTCTGTACCCCATAAGACACACTCTGAATTGCAGGAATCTACGCAGCCTTGAATTTATCTACACCTGTGACAAAGATTAGTTTACAATTTATCCACACTGAGTGCATTAAATTCAGTGGGAAGCTATGTAAATGCATTCAACTCATAGGATTTGGCTGTCAGTGCTTTGCATTATCAAGGAGAATAGGATGTTTAACATAATGCTGCTCATCCTAAGGAATGCTTGGTATACGCAAGACAGCCTTTATCCATTAACATAAAACCACCTGTTGAACAGTACATGATAGTTCTCCTTCACATATTGCAGAAGGAAATTAATTGCACGTGCCGTAAATTTGCGGACAGTTTTAAAAAGTAGCATATTATTACATGAATATAAATGCCTACATTTGGTGTTTACTGAGACTCTTCTCAAAGATTAAATGAAAGCAGGGCAAATATAACTGTATGTATGTGTGTATACATATATCTATATATCTATATATTAAAAAAAGAGATAGAGGCTTCTTCCAACAGTTACAATCACTCCTTTCCCTCCACGCCCAGTACTCACCCTGATCAATTGAGTGTTGAGGGAGCTGGCTAAGTTGGCTGTTCACTACACCCGCGTACGTGCGCAAGAACTCCTCTTCACTAGCGGTCAGCTGGAAATGCAGAGAGTCAGTCAACAAAAAGGAAAATGAAGAAAGACTGAAAATACAACTCCTGACTTCATAATAATAAATGTCATAGTTACCTCTGTTTCTACTCTTTAACAGTTCAAGCTAATCATTGTTTACACCAACTATGTATCAGCTTGCTACTAGTGTAATATATTTCTGGAGGGAGTCAAAGTCACCATAAAACACTTATTTTGTAGGTTTGGTAAAATGAACAACTCTGCTGTACACAGAGAAATTATCAAATGCTCAGATTTAGTTTCAGGCATCACAAGCTTCATACGTTTGAATTTTGCTTAAATATCCTCTGAGTACAGATAATGGCTAACTCAATGGCTAAAACTGTTGGGCAATAAAACCAGACCATCACCTGCCCACCTCAGTAATCACTATTTCAATTACTACAACATCATGTCCAGAAAGCTACAAAATAACGTTATGACAGTGCATCTTACATTTGATCCCATCTTCCTCAGCATGAGCAGGACTCTCACTTTCTGCTGAATATACATCTCCTCCGGACTCTTTCCGGGGACACCCTCACGGTTCATTCCCCTCCTGCCAGCTCCCAGACTTCCTGAAAACACGACAAGATCAGAATAACAAAACCAAAGAGTTAACAGGGTGAAACATGAGCAGCAGGAGAGCGCAATTTCTACCTATTTTCACCAAGGGGCAGACTAGGTAATAGCCTGGGAGAATCCTTATACACTACATGCTTGTTAAGAAAAAAAATCCTTTAAAAGAAATCCAAACAGCTAAAGTGGGCCTTGTGCATGTAACTCAAATATTCAGAGACTGATGTTCACATCACTGCTAGCTCATTATCTGTTGTCACATTTCTGTGTGGGTAGAAAAAGAAAATTCTAACAACTAGATGAAAGAATTACCCTGACAAAAGAGCTCGTGTTCTGCTTTTTTTTTTTTTTAATAATCACAGTCAATAAGAACTACAATGCAACATATAGAGTCGTGTGGATAAGTTATGCATATTCTGAGATAAAGTAAAAAAAAAAAAAGGCTTATCTAGATACCAAATAAGTCTGAAAGACTGAAAACACTTCTGATTCTTAGTATTGTAATACTGCATACATTTATTTTTAAAATACAGTATCTTGAGGGAAAAAGATGCTGCATTAATATCAGAGAAGTCAATTTGGAGGAAAAAGGCACAGGGAACAGTACAGGACTGTCCTATACAACCCCATCTCATTTCTTCATCACCTTATGCCCCTCTAGTATACATTATATTTATACCCCAAGCACCACATTTTTTTCTTCTATATAAAAACACAGAGCCCTCAGGTCTTGTAAAACAAAGTATTTGAAAACAAGATTTTTTCCTCTTTTTTTTTTTGATCGGTTGGAGCATTCTACTAAGTAATGTGTATTATACCACAGTGTTGATCTGCCAGGTTACAGCATTTTCTGCTGTTTTAGCATGTGCAAATTGCAGCCTGTCAGTCTCCAGGAAACTCAGACTTGGAGCCCAGGCAGGAGCAGCAGCAGCAGCCGAGTTTGGTAACATCACAATTAGCTGACAGGCCCGTCTGACTGGAAAGTTCAAGCTATGAAAGAACTCATTTACTGCTGCAGCAACAGAAAAGAAGGCAATTATAATTTCTACATTAAGAAACCTAAAAACATGCAACGTTTTTAGAAGTAATCACAGCATTTTGTTGTATAAATTATCATGACAATAACACACATACGTACGACATGTTTGGAAACATAAGGATATATTGACTGGTTTGGCAGAATTACAGCACAAAATGCCACAAATAAGCAACTATCCTGAAAGTAGTTGGTTTCTAAAACCAATTCTAGCAGTAGATCACATTCTTATTGTCTTGGGCTCAAATCTGGATTTTGAATTCTGTAATATGAATAGATTTAGTGTATTCTGACATTTAACTCAATAACTAGGTTAGCTTTCTGAATAATTTCTTTAGAAAATGACTGCACCTCTCTCCTTCCAAATATCCCCCAAAAAACATTAAGAAATACGATTAGTATGGGAGCAAAGACTAATAGGTCAACTGATTTAGAGATAGAGACCAAATCCTTGCAAGTAATTTAATATAGGACAATAGGCATTTAAGGCTATTTAAGGGTGCATCACTTGACAGAGACAAGCTGTTCACATCACACAGATAAGCCAGAGGAAAAAAAATCAAGTTTACAGAAGAAAACACCTCTATAATAGTAAAGAAAAGTCATAATCTCAGTCCCTGCATCGGTATGTCAGGTATTGCTCTGAGAGAGTTTTCTGAAACTGGAGATTATTTATCCAGAGTCAAATAATCTCATTATTGCAACATAGTTAACACACCTATGGTTTAAAAATAAATTATATACCAATAGGTGGCAATACCTACAAACGCCAAGGAAATGCCCTGCTTACAAAGCTGGTCTATGAGTACAAGACAAGACAACACACCTTTACCCATGAAGAACAAGAAAAACTTACCCAAGTATTATTGCTTTGCTTTCTCAAGAAAGCTATATATAATCAAATATTACTTAGTAGGATTATCCCTCATTTTATAACCCTTTCTGGGACGTATGTGTATATCAAAAATACAAAGATACATTTGGGTACATATACCCACCACACTTTCTTCATATATATGCATACATGTGAGGAAAGCCCCCCTTACTCTCTCTCTTCCATAAGGAGGTTTCTAAAAGCCAAGCCATTCTTTATCCACATTTGCACCCTGTCCATACCAATGACATTCCCAGGCACTTGAGAATGGAATGCATTCAAGCTTTGCATTCTCTAAAAGGCTTTCAACATAAAACTCAACTCTCTGGAAGCACAAATAAAAGTCGTTGCATGTAATTTCTTCTAGATAAAAAAATATATATATAGGCTTAACTCACCAAAGAACCGAGGAAAAAAAAATCTTCTCAAACTGGGAGAAAACTAGGAAGAAAAGGAAAGTATGTTGACTCTGACCAAAATTATTGTTTTCAGCTATGTGTATGTTAACTGATATAGCAATTATGAAGATGGCACTAGAATATTGGGTTAGAAAAGCCTTTGCACAGAACTTTTCAGACCAACCTCATCATTCAGTCACCAACAGCTAACAGTTATATAGGGCTTTTCCTTTTAAGACCTGAGACTTGTTTCTGAACCTATTTTATGACTAACGTTGGGTATCAGGGCTTGGTAAGAATTTCTGCATCTCGCCATCCCTTTCACGGGGTTAAGGCAGCCGGTTCCCGCTCTCCGGGGAGCGACTGTTCCTGCCGCGTGGCTGTTCCCCACCCCACGCACATGTCACCACTAGCACAGAAACAACACAAGAGCCGTGGGGAACTGCTCGACTATTCCAAGCACCGGGTTTAGCAGAGAGAGGCTGTATCCAAAACACCTGCCAGCTTCACCTGCAGCTCTGACCAGCAAGTGCTGGAAACGGCAGAGCTTTGCCAGCGAGCAAAGCTCATCGGAGGGATCCCTTCACCTCCCCAAAAGAGAGGCACGACTTGCTACAAAAGGCCTACTTAAACCATACATTTCTCCTTCACTAATTAGTTCCCACTATTTCTGCCCTCTAAATATGCAGTGCAACCCCAAGATCCATCATCTGCAGCACTGACAACAAGGCCTCTTACAGTCACTAATTTTTCTCATTTCTATAGATGCACCACTATCCCTGTACACTCAGCACAACTGTAAGAGCTCATTTCTAAAAAGAACACACACACGCACTAACCACTTTGGAGATACATTTATATCCTAAGAGCAACAGCATATTTACAGTTACCATTAAAATTCCTAATCCTCCCCAAAATGGCAAATACCAGAAATATACTAATTTGTGTTTTATTTTATTAAATTTACCACCAAACACAAATTGTTGCATTTTAAAAGTTGCAGTCAGTCTCAAAGAATTAAATCCTTCACTGAACTGCACAAGTTTACCCTGCTGCATGCAGCACGTACTGCAGAATGGACATAATTGGGGCACTTCATTTTCCCTTGTTTGGCATGCACAGGGAATGAAACTTATTTCTCATTTATTTTTAATACGACCCACAAGATAAAATAACAAACGAGGAAGATCTGTATGTCGCAGCCAGGGCTGCCAGCACAGCTTTGCCAAAACAACAGATTTGGGTTTGAGAAAGTCCTCGGCCTTTCCTAAGCAGTAAACACGGTTGGTGAGCAAGCAGCTGGAAAAGCTGTCCTGTTCTCCAGCACTGCATTCCTTATTCTGCCTGGAGCGGGGCAGGGTGAGGATCACAGGAATGCTCCCAGCTTGGCAAGGCCCAACACGTGCCCTGGGCAGAGCCCAGCACGCCCGACATCCCCGTTCGGTGCCCGCGTACGGGCCGGTCTGGCCGGGGAAGAGCAGGAGTCCTGCGTGCAGCGAGCGAGGAAGCGCAAACAGCACCTTCCTCACCCAAACCACAACTGACTGAAGCTGCATCTTCCGGCAAGGCAGGAACTCTGGGATGAGAGCAAACTGGGCATCATCTGGAAAAAGACAACACAGGTATGTCTGGGAAAAAAAGTTAGGAAAAAAAAAAAGTTAGGTACTTCACATGCAGCATGCCAAGGGAGACTGGGACTAGGTAGTTCTAATTTCTAGTGTTAAAGGTGCTTCCTCACCTCTCCATGCCAAGTTATCTGTCCTGAAAAGTGCAACAGTGAAAGATAAAGACCAAAAAAACCCCAAAACAAACAAACCCAACCACCACCAAACAGCCAACAGAACCAACCAAACAAGTGAACTAGGGACCTATTCTGGGTTTCTCTTCAGTTACTGATCCTGGAAACAAGAATACAATATATAATGAAGAACATTATCTTTACATTTACCTAGTTCCTAACCAGATTTAGAGCATCCGCTTCCCTTTTTTCCAAAAAATTCTGGACACAAACTTAGTTGACCACCTTGTTCTTTGTACACATGGAAACTCAGGAAACTGGAGCTTGCCAGCAAGATCTGTTTTGACTGAATGCTTCCAGTAGAGGACTCCGACATAGGACAAGCGAAGATTATAGATTCCTACCTGTATTTCCCCTACTTCCATCTACGCTCTCACTCTGGCAAATTCAAAACCTGTAAGGGCTCTCTGCTGGGCAGTGCTGCCCAAGGCTTCCTAATAAAGAACTTCAAACTATTCCACCACCACCCCAGCCCCTTGAAAAGACACATGCCACTAGGAAAAAAAGAAAACAAAAAATGATACATTTACAAATTGTTCATGAGGCAAACTATTTAGTACTCCATTTCACTTTAAAGACAGGCTTATTTAATGCAACAAAACCCAATGCAAGTCTTGGTTCCTTCCAATTATGCATCTCCCCTAACACCTCAGTCTGCTATAATGCTGAAATTCAGAACACCCACATTTTACTGGTATAGGAAAAAATCAAAGTGAAACTGAACACTTTGCTCAGCCTAAATTGAGCAAAAGAAAGGCAATAAACTGACAGTATAAGTAAAGGAGCAATAATTTACAGATTCAGTCTTAATAATTTAGGGTACTTAGAGCAGACATATAGCAAGCTCTCTAAAATGTAGCTTAAGGCTGACTATGCCTTTAATATACTCTATCATTTCCAGTTAGTCAA